GACAGACGCCACGCTCGGAGCAGAGACAGAGCGGCATCCGTGGCCTCCGCGCGACATCGCCTGCCAGCTCGTCTACAACATTCCGGCGAATCAGGGCCCCCCCCTCGGATCGCCCACAACCCGCAAGGCTCGGGCCTTAGGAGGGGGCCGTCCGAACGGCGGCCCATCAGCGCGTCGCCCTTCTTCCGTCTGGACCGCCTTTGCCCCGCCGGCAGACGGCAGGCCCTGCGCGCGCCCGGCTGCCCCCTCCCGACCCCGCGTCTCTGAGTTCGCATATTTCCAAGCGTTCGCACTCTATGGGGCTACCGGCAGCAGCGCAGCCGGGCCGCAGAGGCCACTACTCTCTGAACCCCCCACCGATTGCGCTGAGGCGGCAGCGCACTGCGCCGCCTACGCCTGGCACCACGCAGCACGGCGCAAGGCGAGCATTGCTGCGACCGCTGTGCTATGCAGTGGGTCCCCAAGGGGCTTTCTCAACGACGCGCTACGCCGTGGGTCCGAAGGGGCTTTCTCGCCCGCGGAGAAGACATCGCACGACGCACTGCGAGCGCGGATGCAACGAGACTCCGGACATCGCACTCAGAGCCTTTCAGGGCTTCAACCAACCATCCCCCCCCAGGCCCACCTTATTTCGGCCCCGTCTCCCCCCGCCTGTCCCGCACAAACCTCCCCCCCTTCCCCTCGCGCGGTGGCGGCGCGGTTTTCGATGGAGCGGGCGAGGGCGGCGAATGGGCCCGCCATTGGCTGCCCTGGCTAGGGCGGGGCGGCCGCGGCCGCGACGCAGATGCAGCCCGCAGCAGGCTATATCAACCGTGCCGTTTTCCCGGCCGCGTCGAGGACGGTGGGAAGAGGGCGTCAGAGGCGGCGGGGGGGGGGGGGGGGATCACGCTCTAACCGCGCCCGCTCTACCGCCACGGAAGGCACAACCCTCCCCCGCGCGCGGAGGAACCCCTAAGCGGCCACCGCCCCCGCGGTCTGGGCACCTCATTTTTCATAGCCGCGGGGATGGTGGACGCTTCGGGGGGGTCCTGCGTGCAGGGCGAGAGACTCTTATGTTTTCCACCGGGGCGGGCATGGCCAGCCACTCTGCAGCGGCGAGCGTGGCCGCCACCACTGCCAGGAAGGGTCAAGCCTCCCTCAGGCTCGGTGGGGCCCCTTCCGGCGGCCCCCCGAGGCCCATGTATTGGGGGCCCTGCGCCTGCTTGCAGGTGAGGGATCCCGGGCGCTTGCGGGGGTCCCCATGAGCGGAGGGAGAGGCCCTTGAGCCTTCCACCTCGGCGAGCGTGGACACGGGCCGCCACCGCCACGCCGCGCGAACGGCGAGAGCCTAGCCCACCGCACCTCCATCGCCCGCCCATTTTTGTTCGCACTCACCTCCTGTCCCAGTCCAGCGCTGCCTGCCACCGCGGCTTGAGATCTTACGTGCCCTCTGTCGCCGCCCAACGATTCGTTTACTCAGGTTCTCTGCGCGCATCGACCGCCACGCTCAGCTTGCATCATCTTATGGGCGTGGGTGGATTATCTTGGGGGGGGGCGAGAACCCACGCTGAAGGGCGTGCTACCTAGTGCCAGGACGGCTTCGGACGACACACCCGCTGCTTCAGATGAAAACCAACGCCGCTCTTTCCTCTGCATCCTTGTTTCCCACACCCACACTTTGCCCGTTTGTGCGGCCACTGCCGCTACGCACGCCGCACAGCCTGCGCCGCCGAACATCACCCCTGCTTCCTCCTCTTTGGTCAGGTAAAGGTTTCCCTCCCTCTCTTCCCCCTCGTCTCGCCCGGCTGTCTGTCACATATACCTGCACTTTTCTCTGCCACCAGCCAGCGAATCCTGGAGCGACGCTCCAGGAGCCGCCCGGCTCCAGTTTGATCGCCCGCCCCAGGGCCGACCGACCCTGGGGTGGGGGGAGGGCGGTGCTCGACGAGCACGCAAGCCGACAGGAACAGGAGGAGGATGGGGGGTGGCGCGCCGCGCGCTGCAGGGGGACGGGAACGGGAGCAACGGGGAAGCGCAGAACTCAGGTTTCTTCGGGCCACGAATGTTTATAGCGTTTTTTCGGCTGTCCTCGGCTGTTTCCCAGCTTCGGGGTGCGTTCCAGCAGCTGCGCCTGTCCGAGGGCGTTCCAGGGGCGTCCGGATTCCCGGATCGCCTCGAACGGCCGCCCGAGAGCCGAGTCATGGCTCGACTCCGCTCTTCCTTCTCCTCCTCCTCCTCCTCCTCCTCCTCCTCCTCCTCCTCCTCCTCCTCCTCCTCCTCTTTCTCCTCCTCCTCCTCCTCCTCGTCCTCCCTATCGTCGTGGCCGACCCGTCGGGACCCCAGGCAGGCCCTGGGGCCATCAAGCAACGACCGAGGACGAGAAGCCAGTCCCAGGGAAAGGGTCCAGACCTTTCTGAGCCCACGTGATGAACGCAGACGTGGTGGTTCAGTCCTCGCGTCTTTCCTCGATTTCGGCCCCTCGAGGGCCGTTGTCTGGCCCCGGGGCGATCGAAAATGGACCCCGGGCAAGAAGCTGGCCCCGGGGAGAGGGGTGGCGCGAGGGAGCGGTTTTCTTAGAAGGCGGCGGGGCTTCGCAGAAGGAGGACGGCGGCGGGGCTCCTCCTCCTCCTCCTCCTTGTCCTCCTCCTCCTTCTCCTCCTCCTCCTCCTCCTCCTCCTCCTCCTCCTCCTCCTCCTCCTCCTCCTCCTCCTCCCCCTCAGAAGGCCGGAGCCTTCTTCGAAGGCCCTTCTAGACAGAGTTCTTAGAAGCTCCCGCGGCCGTCAGGAAGGCCCGTGCCCTCGCTCAGAGGCCCCGCCGCCATGTTAGAAGCCCATCCTCCTCGCGCCCCCCCCCCTGAGTTCGGGGTCTGCTAAAGGTGCCCCTGGCCCAAGGTGCCCTCAGCTTCTCGCCCCAGATCGCATCGCAACAAAAATCAGGACGAAGGTTTTCGCTATTTTCGGCCCCTGGGGGCCCTCGCCGGGCCCTGGGACCGTCAAACAACGATTCAGGATGACAAACCGGCCCCGGGGAAAGGGTCAGGACTTCCGGGGAAGCCGTCTTGAAGAAATCAGGACGTCGCATGTCTGGGGCTCAATTTTGGAGCCCCTGAGGCCCCCTGGGCCTCGTGAGGGGTGCTCTGGAGGCCGTAGGGGCCTCTTTGGAACTCCTGGGGGCGCCTTGGGCCAGGGGCACTTCCAGCAACGCCCGACTTGTGGGCGTCGCCAACCTGGGGCCGCGGGCGGAAAACGTCGGACCGTCGGGCGTGTGGGGCTCCGGAGCAGGAGCTGAGGACGGGAGCAGTGCCCGAGCAGTCCGAAGCGGCGCGGGCCCAGATTCTCGCAGGTCCGCGCGGGTCGCCTGGGGACATGGCCCATGGGCCTCTGGATTTGCCTGGAGGCCTCCCAGACATGTAGCGTCCTGCACGAATCTGGTTCGTTTTTCCCTACCTAGGCTCTGCCTAGAAGGGTTCTTACTGTCTTGGCTTAAAGGGGCCAGGCAGTGCAAACCGCCCCGGGCGGTTCCCCTGGGAGCCAAGCAAAAGCAACAGCAAAGGTAAAAGCAAACGCGCGGTTCCCCCAGTTGCGCTCCCTGGGTGCCAAGCAAAAGCAAAAGCAAAGGCAAAAGTGAAGGCAAAAGCGAAGGCAAAGCAAAAACATAGCATAGCATAGCATAGCATAGCATAACATAGCATAGTATAGCGCAGCATAGCATAGCGCAGCATAGCATAGCGCAGCATAGCATAGCATAGCATAGCCTAGCCTAGCCCAGCATAGCATTGCGCAGTATAGCATAGCATAGCATAGCATAGCACAGCATATCATAGCATAGCATAGCATAGCATAGCATAGCATAGCATCCACAGCATAGCATAGCGCGCCACAGCATCAACGGCACAGCATCCACCGCTACTGCTACAACTACGACGATGAGGAGATGGAGGAGGACGGCGTTTACCGCTCCTACTAATGTTGCTTTCCTAGAGGCTCCAACTCCTAGGTAGGGTCGCACTGGGATAATTGTTTTGCGTGTGTGTGTGTGTGTGTGTGTGTGTGTGTGTGTGTGTGTGAAGTCTCCCTCCGGCGCCCGCCCCGCCGCAGTCGGGACTTGCCTGAGCTGGATTGCGGCCCAATGTGCATCTAGCGCGCCCCACTGATGCCCGATCGCCGGAGCAGCAACCTCTGCCCAGCCGCCGACGCAAAAAGTGTGTGTGTGCGCGTGTGTTTATATATATATATATATATGTATATGTGTGTGTGTGAGCGTGTGTGTGTGTGTGTGTGAGTGTGTGTGTGTGTGCGTTGTGTGTGTGTGTGTGTGCGCGCGCGCGCGTGTGTGTATTTGTGTGTGTGTGTGAGTGTGTGTGTGTGTGTGTCTGAATTCGTGTGCTTGTACTTGTGTGTGAGAGAGAGTTTTCGACCTCTGGGGCGTCACACTTGGCCCCAGGGACCGGCAGAACACGGCTCGGGATGAGAAGCGGGCCCTGGGGGAGGGGTCGGGGCTCCCCGGGGAGCGGCCCCCCCCCCTCCCCGGAGGCTCCGAGACTGTGCCTCTGCCGCGCCTCGCGCCTCCCTGCACAGCGAGGAGGAGCACGGCAGGTTCGCATCGCGTCGACGCGGCGGCGACCCCAGCGCCAGCTTTCAAGGTTAAACGCCGCCGGATTTAAGTCGGGGCTGTCCCTCTACCGGGGGAGTAGTCGAAAATAGTCAAACAATGGTCAGGGGGCGATTTTTTTCGGGGGGGAAAACTTTTGAGCATGGTTAATTTTTCGCTCAAAATCTCCCTGTAGGGGCACAGGCCCGACCTAACGCCAGATGCCAGAATCGGTCAGAAGCGGTCGGCATCGAACGATCCGCGCTGTCGGAAAGTCGCGTCGTGGTGTCGGAAGCCAGCGCCGACGTCGTCACGGCGCGACCCCTGCCGTACAGGAGCAACAACGGCCACCCTTGCAGCCCACACCTTTGCATTCTCCCGGAGCGCAGCTACACTCCACGCGTCGATGGCTTGAGGCCCACACGGTCCAGGGTTCGGCGGTTTTGTGGCTCTTGGTCTCTGGTCCTCTCCGCTGCCGCGGTTGCCATGGGCCTGCTGAAGGGGCTCGACCCGCTGCTCACAGCGGACCTGCTCTACGTGCTGCGAGCAATGGGCCACGGCGACGAGCTCGTGGTATGCGACTGCAACTTCCCTGCCACTACCACGGCAGAGGCCACCACGACGAAAAAGCTCGTCTCTCTGCCTGGGGCCGACTGCCCCCAGGCCATCGACGCCATCTGTTCGGTGTTGCCGCTGGATTTCTTCGTGCCGGATCCAGCCCACTTCATGAGTCCACAAGAGGGCGTCGAGCTTCCGCCAGCCGGCAAGAAGGTCCATGCCACGGTGCAGGCCGCCTTGGATAAGCATTGCGGAGTCAAGATGCAGCCGCTCGATCGGTTTGCGTTTTACGAGCGAGCGAAAAAGGCATTCGCGGTGGTTCAAACAATGGAGCGTAGACCATATGGCTGCTACATCCTCAAGAAAGGCGTTGTCGGCCCTGATGGCAATGACTTGAAGCCGTGAGTCGGTCATGTCTGTCCGCTCGTCTTTCAAGCGGGCGAAGAAGTTTAGCGAGTTGTTTTCGGTGTGCGCCTCGCGCACCGGCTGGACAACATGTACTTGCTTCTGGTCCCAGTCCCTCTTTCTCCTTCTGCCGCCCCCGCCCCATTTCCATGGTGCCGCTCGTCTGTGCTCCCACCCCCTCCCGAGGACGGACGAGGGCTGAGGAGGAAACCACGTCAGGGAGGGTGGCGAGGGAGGAGCGAGGCAAAGGGCAGTTGTGGAGAGGTAGCGCACCTCCATCACCACCTGGGCCCCCCCTCCCCCCTCCTGGGGCTGGGCCAGAGAGTTTCGAGGCCAGCCTGCGAGGCTGCCCCACGAAGGGCGGCCAACGAAAGCAGACCCCACCCACACCTGCCCCCCCAAACCTGGGGGGTGCTCTCTTGCTCGCCGGGACAGGGAGGGGCAGTTCTCTCTTGCCTACACCCCCGCCCCCCCCCTCGTCCCGCTGGCCCCGGCGCCCCCGCCTGGGCGCTCGGCGTCGCCCTCCTCCTCGTCCTCCTCGCTTGCTTGGGGGGGGGTCAGCGCGGCCTGCCTGGGGGGGTGGGGGGCAGGGGGGGCGGTAGCGAGAGAAAGCGCACCCCCACCCCCGCCTGTCGTACGTTGCGTGAGGGGGGGGGGCGAGGAATGGGCGATGGGGGGGGGGACGGGGGGGGAACGAGCATCTTTCAACCGCAAAAGAACAGGAAAAATAGTGAGCAAGTCGTCCTCGTAAATTTTTCCCTCCCATCCCGTGGTGTTGGGTCCTCGTTTTGAAGAGACGGTCCCCGCGTTCTCCTCCTCGTCTTCACCCCCCTCCTCCCTCCTCCCTGCGTTTCACCCATCCAGTACAGCGTTTCGTGGCCCCATAGGGAGTTCCACCGAAGGCCCCAGGGCCACCGCCCGCATGCATGCCCCACACCCATGTCGGCACACCCCTCACACGCTTCGTGCCCCCACAGGGAGCTCTACCGAAGCCTCCAGTGGGACCGCCCGCATGCGTCCCCCACACCCAATCTGGCACATCCTTCATGACCCTATAGGGAGCTCCACCGAAGGCCCCAGGGCCACCGCCCGCATTCGTCCCCCACACCCAATTTGGCACACCCCTCCCACGCTTCGTGGCCCCATAGGGAACTCCACCGAAGGCCCCAATGCCACCGCCCGCATTCGTCCCCCACGCCCAACTTGGCACACCCCTCACACGTTTCGTAAACCCGTAGGGAGCTCCACCGAAGGCCCCAGTGCCACCGCCCGCATGCGTCCCCCACACCCATTTCGGCACACCTCTCACACGTTTCGTGGCCCCATGGGGAGCTCCACCGAAGGCCTCAGTGCCACCGCCCGCATGCGTCTCCCACGCCCAATTCGGCACACCCCTCCCACGCTTCGTGGCCCCATAGGGAACTCCACCGAAGGCTCCACTGCCACCGACCGTATGCGCCACCCACATCCATTTCGGCACACCCCTCCCACGCTTCGTGGCCCCATAGGGAGCTCCAGCGAAAGCCCCAGTGCTACCGCCTGTAAGCGTCACCCACACCCACTTCGGCAAACCCTTCCCAAGTTTCGTAAACCCGTAGGGAGCTCCACCGAAGGCCCCAGTGCTACCGCCCGCATGCGTCCCCCATTCCCATTTCGGCACACCCCTCACACGCTTCGTAGCCCCATAGGGAGCTCCACCGAAGGCCCCAATGGCGCCGCCCGCTAACGTCAGCCACACCCACTTCGGCACACCCCTCCCACGTTTCGTGGCCCCATAGGGAGCTCCACCGAAAGCCCCAGTGCCACCGCCCGCATGCGTCCGCCACAGTCACGGTCTCAAGGAACGTCTCCAGACCTCTGGGGAGGAGGAGGCGGAGGAGGAGGAGCAGGGGGAGGAGGAGGAGGAGGAGGAGGAGGAGGAGGAGGAGGAGGAAGAAGAAGAAGAAAAAGAAGAAGAAGACGAAGACGAAGACGAAGACGAAGAAGAAGAAGAAGAAGAGGAGGAGGAGGAGGAGGAGGAGGAGGCGCTCTCTCCCTCGTACGCATTTTGATTTGCAGTCGCGGGAGGTTCCATTCCACCAGCGAGGGTCTTTCCGGTGTTCTCGCTGTGGCCGCCGTGAACGAGCGGTGTTGTGGTTTCGTGGATGCCGTCGTCGCCGTCGTCGTCTGCGTCCAGCGGCGGCTCCGGATCGCCCCGCGGCCTGCGGGCCGGCGGCCGTGGACGCGCCGGGGACCCACCGCATCCGGAGGGAGTGCAGGAGCGCGGCGCGCACGAAGCGGTGCAGGAAGGAGGCGACGGCCCTCGCCACGGAGCTCGGCTGCACCGAGTTTTATCCGCGAGGCCTGACCTGAGGGACGTCCCGCCCGATCCGCGCCTTCTTTCGATTGCCCAACTAACTGCTTGGCCTTCCTCGCGCCGCGGACGACCAACGCGCGTCGCTGGGACCCTCTCGGGGCGACCAGCACGCGTCGCGGGAACTCCGCGCCGCGCTTTGTCCAGCGCCTCGCTCGCCCGTCGTCGCTCTGCCCAGCGGCCAGTGCCTTGCCCGGTATCAGCCAACCAGCTCGCCCTCTTTGCTCCGGGCCGCGGACCCTCGGGAGCCCCGGGAAAGCTCCCTGCGGCGGCAACGCTCAGTGACGCGAGTGTTCAGAGTCGAGCGCGCCCAAACCATTCACAGTCATATACACTTACGCTAGGCGTATCCATGCTCGCGTTCATGCAAATAGATTCATTCGCACAAGAACCCGTTAACAGACATATTCACTCGCGTTCATATCTCTCTAATTCGATAAACCTGCCCTCGTCGTTCGCGTCGTGCGCCCCGCCACGCATTTCAGCACGCCCCTCATGCGGTTCGCGGCCCCATCGGGAGCGCCACCGAACAAGAAATTCACAATTTCGGCGTTCGCAACTGCATGTGGTTGGGTCCTTCGCCAGGATATTGTTTTTTGGTTTTGTGTGAATATTCCCGTATAGGGACGTGCCCGACTTAAGTTTACAGGGCCCTTTCAGGGCCTCCACTTGGCGCCCCCGCCCGTGGCGGCGGGGTCAGCTGACGGGGGGGAAGGAGGGCGTGTGGCAGAGGATTAGAAAGCAGGAGGCAGGGGTGGGCCGAGGAAGGGGGACGGGGGAATGGGATGGGGCAGGGGGGAGGAGGAGGAGGAGGAGCGAGGAGGAGGAGGAGGAGGAGGAGGAGGAGGAGGAGGAGGAAGGAGGAGGAGGAGGAGGAAGGAGGAGGAGGAGGAGGAGGAGGAGGAGGAGGACGGAGGAGGAGGACGGAGGAGGAGGAGGAGGAGGAGGAAACGGAGGAGGAGGAGGGAGGAGGGAGAGGGGGAAGGGAGGGGCCGGGGGATTTGTACATTCCGATGCGTCGGGGAGGAGGAGGTGGCGGATCGGGTGGCCGAGGAGGAAGAAGAGGAGGAGGAGGAGGAGGAGGAGGAGGAGGATGACACTGAACTTTGCAGCCACCAGGATGCAGGAAGTATGATGATGATGTTGATGCTGATATTGGTAGTGACTATGCTGATGGTGATGATGATGACGATGATGATGGTGATGATGCTGGTGATGCTTAAGATGGCGATGGCAATGATGATGCGGATGATGTTGATGATGTTGTTTGATGACGATGGTGACGGTAATAGCGATGCTGCTGCTGATGATAACGACGATGATTATGATGATGCTGCTGTTATTGATGACGATACTGAAGACGGTGGTGATGCTGATGACGATGAGGAGCAGGAGGAGGAGGATAAGGAGGAGATGGACGAGGATGGTGACGTGGCGGAGGCTACTTATGGCGGGTGAGCAGGAGGTTGAGCAACAGGAAAAAAGGGATTAGGAGGAGGATGAGGGTGAGGATGAGGATGCGGATGCGGATGCTGATGGGGATGTTGATGATGATGGTGCTGATGATGCTTGTGATGATGATGATGCTGATGGTGACGATGCGAATGGTGATGATGCTGATGATGACGATCATGATGGTAGCGATGATGATGATGATGATGATGATGATGATGATGATGATGATGATGATGATGATGATGATGATGATGATGATGATGATCGTTATGATGATGCTCACGGTGCTGATGATGATGCGGAGGAGAAGGAGGATATGGAGGAGGAGTAGGAGAAGGTGGCTGGAGGAGGAGGAGGAGGACGAAGCGGGGGACGAGGACGAGGACGAGGACGAGGACGAGGACGACAACGTCGTAGTAGTAGTAGTAGTAGTAGTAGTAGTAGTAGTAGTAGTAGTAGTAGTAGTAGTAGTGGT